TTATTTTCTCAGCAGTGTAGAGAGTGTTGTTAAGAAGGAGGACAGGTGATTAAGGAGTCAAATAATCTATGTTTTTTTTTTTAAATACAACCGTTAATATCTACATTTAAACTTCTTGCAGCAGAAATGACATTTAGTTAAATGCTACTCTCCACATTAATCATTTATATTCTTCCTAATTTATGGACTGTACACTGTATGAATCTGTTCATTGTTTCAATTTTAGGTTTTATGGTTGTTGAAGATCACAAAAAAATATAGTTTGTACATCACATAACTTATTCCCTAGTCATCTTTTAAGGTTGGCTAGAAAACTAATCACATGTCCGTTTTATTTATGCTTTAATTTAGGGGTTAACTAACTAAAACACTATTTTGAAAGGGTGTCTCTTCTGTGCCGTGAAAAATCTTCTTGGCTTGAACGAAGAAAAATAATAAGCAGCAGCTCGCGTCATTTTACGATAGTTTTAACCAATTACGTGAAATTAACTATTGACGTTCGTAGAAAAGATATTTCGCAGCGAGAAAGGGTGAGGTAATCACCTTCAGTTGAATCTAGAATAGCCAGAGATGGCAAGTAACAAAAAATGGTAGAACGAACAAATATGTTAAAGCAGGGCTGCTTATTTTTCAAAATGCTACAATTTTTTGACAAAGGACTTTGATTATAAATATTTTCAAATAATAATGCTTTACTGATATCAAGCATTATTTTCATTGTTCAGATACAATGCAATTATATAATGCCTGTTGGCATCTTTAATCATTATGATAAGACAATACCAACCCGAAGGCAAAAGCTCTCAAAAGTGGGAGGTACTTTACAGGGAGGCTGAACGGATATTGTTGAAATCCGAGGAGCAGGAGCATAGCTATTATTTTAAAATTAATTAAAAATATAAATTAAAAAATGCTGGACGGATTTTGTTGAAATCCGAGGAGCATATCTTTTATTTTAAATGATTTAAAAAATATATAAATTGAAAATGATGGGCGGATATTGTTGAAATCCGAGGAGCACAGCTTTATTTTGAAATTATTTTAAACATATTAATTGAAAAATGCTGGACGGATATTATTAAAATCTGAGGAGCATAAGCAATGTTTTTATTTTTAAAGTGCTGGACGGATATTGTTAAAATCCGAGAAGCATAAGCAATGTTTTTATTATTTTTTTTATTTTTAAATTGCTGGACGGATATTGTTAAAATCCAAGGAGCATAAGCAATGTTTCTATAATTATTTATTTTTAAAGTGCTGGACGGATATTGTTAAAATCCGAGGAGCATAAGCAATGTTTTATAATTTTTTTTAAGTGCTGGACGGATATTATTAAAATCCGAGGAACGTAAGCAAACCTATTATTTTCAAATTTTGAAAGTGCTGGACGGATATTGTTAAAATCCGAGAAACATAAGTAAAGTTTTAATTTTTTTTTTAATTTTAAGAGTGCTGGACGGATATTTTTAAAATCCGAGGAGCATAAGCAAAGTTTTTAATATTTTTAAATTTTGAAAGTACTGGACGGATATTGTAAAAATCCGAGAAGCATAAGCAAAGTTTTTTATTTTTGAATTTTTAAAACCTGGACGGATATTGTTAAAATCCGAGGAACACAAGGAAAGTTTTTATTTGTTTTTTAATTTTGAGAGTGCTGGACCGATAATTTTAAAATCCGAGGAGCATAAGAAAAGTGTTTATTATTTTTAAATTTTGATAGTACTGGACGGATATTGTTAAAATCCAAAAAGCATAAGCATAGTTTTTAATTTTGAATTTTTAAAACGCTGGACGGATATTTTTAAAATCCAAGGAACATAAGTAGTTTTTATTTTTTTTTTAATTTCAAGAGGGCTGGACGCATATTTTTAAAATTCAAGGAACACGAGTAAACTTTTTGTTTCTTTTTTAATTTTGAGAGTGCTGGAAGGATATTTTTAAAATCCGAGGAGCATCAGCAAAATTTTTAATATTTTTAAATTTTGGAAGTACTGGACGGATATTGTTTAAATTCGAGGAGCATAAGCAAAGTATTTATTATTTTTAAATTTTGAAAGTGTTTGTCAGATATTGTTAAAATCCGAGGAGCATAAGCAAAGTGTTTAATATTTTTAAATTTTTAAAATTCTGGACGGATATCATTAAAATCCGAGGAGCATAGGCAAAGTGTTTATTATTTTGAAATTTGAACATGCTGGTCGAGAACTGTTTAAATTCGATGAGCATAAACAAAATTTTTATTGCAAAATACCGAAAGGACATTGTTAAAATCAAGGAGCAGATGCAAAATATTGCTGCTATGTGGATTTTGTTGGATATTAAAGTCTGTAAAACGATTTTTTTTTACAGGAAGACCATTCAATTTAAATGCTGACTGGAAGTTTCTATAATAAAATATTGTGTAACGTTATAATATTTTAAAAAAACCAAAAAAGGTTGACAGTTGTGTGCACGTAGTTTAGATTCAAAAAGGAAAAACTTGTATTTCGTGCAAAACTTTTTTAATGCAAAGCGCTTTCGGCTTATTTGCCATCATCAGTGCTCATCTACAAAAATTGTGGATGTAAACTTACAATTTAAAAAGATTTAAAAAATTTATAAAATCTGAATTAGACTTTTAAGTCAAAAGTTAAAATAGTATATATACAATTGTTTGAACGAATTAAAAATTACAAGAAACAGACAAAGTGACAAAAAACCTGGTATTGGGAATAGTGAGTGTGGGATAAGCCCCTACAAATCAAATCTGATCTCCAAAAGCAAGTTAGCTTGTGTGGAATTAAGGAATCATGCCACCCTCACTATTCACAAAATTGAGAAAAGGTTAACAAATTAATTAAAATTTAAAGAAATTTACAATTAGAGGGTGACTGTGGAATATATATTTAAATTTGAATCTATAATGCAATATTTGATATGAAGAAAGTAAAACGCAGAAGGCCAAAGTAAAAAAACTGAAGGTTTTTTTTTTATATGTTTTATATACATTATAATAATAATATCTTTCATATTAAACATTTATTTAAATTTAAATAACAATAAATTAAATCTCTAAATTCAATAACAAATTTTGATCTCCGTCAACCTCCAATCACTCGAATCACACTCGGAGAAACATGTTTCACACTGAGGTGAACGCACCTCCTTCTGTTGACATTTGACAAGTCAAAGTCTTCAAGTGTCGCTTGTCACCACTGTCATGTGGAAACGGTTAAACAACTTGAACCAAAATGAGATAAATTTAAATTTGAAAATATTAATATTAATAAAATTATGATTTAGCAAGTTGTAAACATCCCGAAATTTATAATTTTGGGAGTGAGGATGACCAGGAACTTGTTGGATACGTTGTGGACAGTAGGTAGACTTTTTCATAATTATAATGTATATAAAACATATAAAAAAAAACCTTCAGTTTTTTTACTTTGGCCTTCTGCGTTTTACTTTCTTCATATCAAATATTGCATTATAGATTCAAATTTAAATATATATTCCACAGTCACCCTCTAATTGTAAATTTCTTTAAATTTTAATTAATTTGTTAACCTTTTCTCAATTTTGTGAATAGTGAGGGTGGCATGATTCCTTAATTCCACACAAGCTAACTTGCTTTTGGAGATCAGATTTGATTTGTAGGGGCTTATCCCACACTCACTATTCCCAATACCAGGTTTTTTGTCACTTTGTCTGTTTCTTGTAATTTTTAATTCGTTCAAACAATTGTATATATACTATTTTAACTTTTGACTTAAAAGTCTAATTCAGATTTTATAAATTTTTTAAATCTTTTTAAATTGTAAGTTTACATCCACAATTTTTGTAGATGAGCACTGATGATGGCAAATAAGCCGAAAGCGCTTTGCATTAATAAAAAAGTTTTGCACGAAATACAAGTTTTTCCTTTTTGAATTATAATATTTTGTTTATACTCTTAAGCAAACCATGTAATATGGGATTTATTTTTTCTGGTCAGGACAATTTGTTGGTATAAAATACGAAGGTACTTCGAGAGCGAAATACAGGTCAGTTTGGCCGTGTTAGCATCATTAATCATTATAAGAAAATACCAACCTGAAGGCAAAAGCTCTCAAGAGTAGGAGGTACTGCACAGGGATACGCGTGCAGGTACCGCTCCGGGGCACATCGACGGTATCGGCCTTGAATGTCACCATACGCCTTTGGGATTACTATTTTTAATAAATTTATAACATGCCTATATATCCAGCGAAAACATGTCAAAAGGAGACAATATTATCAAAATAAGAGTTTCTTAACTGTCAGCTTTTGTGAAAGTAATTCAAAACTATGATTTGCGCTCGTGAAATGCACGTGTGCTACTCATTGATTATACTCGTAGAAACATTTTAATAACTTCGCGATAACAAGTACCTATCCTGCAAAATTTTTAACTTTGCCTCTATGCAGAAATCTTTTTAATTTAAGATAAAGAACTACTTTTGTTAACATCTAGACTATATATAAATTTAAAAAGAGGTTGGTCCAGGAACCTCATAATTTGTTATACCTTGTGGCACTCAAGCTATGCAGGTGGCTGCTGTTAATTACTTAATGACATGAAGATTAGATTTATTGTGTTATAGAGACAATGGCAACATGTGGGATCTCACCTTATCCTTTAATAACAGGATAAACATGATGGAATCTCGACTTGTATTGATATTATAAAGGATCTCTGTTTCGTTAACGAAAAGCTCAAATATTTTGTGGAATATAGCAATATTAGTGGTGGATCTCCGGTTGTCCAAAACTTATCCGAATCTCTACTTGGTACAAAACCATATATTTTAAGGAGTCATCAACAAAAAATGTTTCTTTGGTAAGCCATGGACCGTATAATTCTTCTTCATTTTGAGTGTCTTTGTCGGTCATGGCCTACCTACTTAAAAAATATTTTTTGTGGATCACTATACATGTCATTGTTTCTTGTTTTCCGCACTTATACATTTTTTATTGTTACATGGAATGCAAGCAACACTTACCGGTCTATTATCACAGGATCTGAGGGCGTTTCGTTTCTGTTTCCACAGCTTTTTTTGTCACAACATCGACTGAAAATAAAAGAATTACAATTAAAGAACTATAATAATAAAAATAATTACAATATTATAATGACATAACTAAAAATAAATATTAAATTGTCGAAGCTATCATGTCACAAAGTACCTAATCAGAATCAAAGAAAATGTGGAAAATGTTCTATCTCTGTAGTTGTTTTTCGAAAGAATATGAGCGTTTAATATTTTGTGAAATATGGCTTTGAGAATTTATTTTCCATTTTGTGCCTTGATCACATTTAAGTTTAAATTATTTTTCATAAACAAAAAAACAAACATTTGTCGAAAAAGTATTAGATAATGATGCGTAATGTACAAGATTTTACTTTTGGAGAATACAGGAGGGAGAAGGGCAATTAAATTAAATTATTTATCAGAAATAATCACAAATAATAATTATTAAAATAATCTTGAATTTGAGTTTTGGTTAACACAGTATGGTCAATAATATTATTTCAATATAAAAACGTTAAAAACGACACAATATAATTATAAAAGTTAAAAGAAAATAATGTAATAAAAAGAACTAATTAACTAAGATTAAATATAATTATTTTTTTTACTATTTCATTGTATATAGGGTGAATCATTATTAAAGCACAAAAATTTAAATTTACATCAATAAGTATGCATTAAAAAAAATGAGTGTAAAATCAAAATACATTCAGAGGCACACAAAGGTTTAGCATTCACATTTTTTTTTTTCTTTCGAAAGAAAAGCAAAAATTATAAAAAATTTCAAAATTCTACTGGTTTTGTTTCCCAAAAATAATTAATAATAACAATCTTGCATTTGAGTTTTGGTTCACACTGTATAATAAATATTTTTATTAAAAGAGCCGGTGAAAATAACAAAACATATTATGATAAAATTACACGAGTGACAGCTTTCTAGGGAAAAACAACTACTCCTTTGACTAATAGTAAAAAAACAATGTAATCAGAGTTTAAAACCCAAATTATTTTAAAAATACAGGGAATCAACTAAGGGCTGCTACATTTGTGTATTTAACTATTCTATTTGATATAGGGTGATTAATTAATAATGTACAAAAATTTAAGGTTGGATTTCCTATTAATCGATGCATTTTAGCAAAAAGAAGTGTGTAGGGTTAAAGACGAGCATACTCAACAAACAATAAATTGCCGGGGTATTGCTGGCCTTTTGCTGCAATTGAAGGGAAAATGAATGCTACGATTAAAAGATAAAAGCCTACTTTTGGCCTTTTGATAGTGGCCCAGCATTATGTTGCTTTATGATGGCCTTATGAAGGGTAAGTGACTGTTTTGAGTAAAAGCTTTTACAGTCCAGGAGGGCTCCGTCCCACATTCATAGATGGAGACACCTTGTTACATGTTACATACTCAACGAGTGAACATGTACTATAAATATAAGGCCAGTCTCAGAAAAGATCGGAAGCCAGCATCTACCTGAGCAAGCACAGGCTACGTATTGTAACAGGGATTTTTACCGGGCATTGCCGACTAAAATGACACCTTAGTAAACTGAGAGTAGTAGGGGATAGTGAGTGTAGATTCTGTGAGGAGGAGGACGAAACCTCTATTCACATTCTAACTGAATGTGTAGCACTCCAGAATCCAAGGGCACTATACCTAGGAGGATATTAAATAGAAGTGGGAGATTTACCTGACTTAAAGCCACTCCAAATCCTGCACTTCCTTGAGAAGATAGGATTGGAAGGATCGTTATAGGCATCTTTTATGTCACAGTGTATTAACACCCCATTCTCATTCCCAACATAACATAACATGAGGCCACTCTCGCATTGCTGGTGTTCACTATTCAGTATTCATTGTAATTTGTTACTTTTACATGTTAATTTAGAATATTTTATGAATAATTTTTTCTATATTATTATATAGCTGAATTAAATAAAATGTCTACAATATTCTATATTGAAATGCCTTCTGTTTTTGTATAGAATTTATAGATCAAAAGGTACTACTGTAAAAGGCCAGTAATTTCCTGTTAGCTTCCCATTAATAGACCATTAATTGCCAGTATATTTATTTCTATACATTACAGGGAAAATGGAGGCCTATTAACTGGATTTAATAGCTAAGTGACTTTGGCCCGACTGTCGGTCGTAGTGACCTATATATGCCGGCTTTTCAATTATAAAAGTTAAATGGCCATCATTACAATTGGAGGGTAATAGTTATTGGGCCTTTTATTAACCTGCACAAAATGTTTGCTGGGTATGTTTAGTTTCCATTTTTTTTTTCGAAATCGAAGCAAGGTACGATTAAACGCTTCAGTAAAAAAAGTTGTAAATTTAGTCGCTCCATACAAAAAAAAAATTGTGTAAAAAACTAACCGACTTGCTCCGTGCGCACGCCCTTGAAATTACTGGACCAAAGTCTGACTCATGAAATATTCCTATTTAAAATAATAACAAATCAAAATTTTCCAAAGCGTTTTTAACTCCTTATATCTAGGAAAAATATCGTTTTCGAATATATTTTCATGTATATAGTTTTTCTTATTTTTATCAAATGAATGTACCATCAAATTTTCGTGCAATATTAACAAATCACCCTACATAAATAAATGTTTCTTATATTTGAGGATTTGCCTGTAGGAAAACCTTAATTTGGAGATTTTCAGCATTACTGCTTATTTATTGTTCATTTAGACACTATACACTATACCTAACATGAAATCCTCAGTAGTATTCTAGTATATTTGACTATTTTAAAAAACATACTCACATAATTGAAAAATTATTTAAATTATTTTATTTGTTTTTAAAAACCCAGTATTTGAAAATGTTATGCATTAATAATATAGAAAAGATCTTAATTTTTATTAGCGCCTACATACATAATAATATTTTAGAAAATTCTGTAGATACATCTTATACCATTTTTTATTTCATAAAAAAATTTTCTGTATAGTTTTCCTTGAAAAATCAAGAAACTTCTTAAGAATCACTGAATCAACACTTATAAAATGTTAAAACAAATTAGAAATTCTCTAATGCACCCTGTATGCGCGCCCTCCAAATTTTCCCTATGCGTCAACGAAAAGCTGATAAACCTCTATAACAAACGAGAAACAAAATAAGTCGCCTCAAAATATTATATTATCCTTTTTACGTCATGTAAACAATCTTCCACTACCTTAATATTCTTGATAAATTATCTCTCCAAGGTGATAAAATTGGATGCGTTATCAAATTTTCCTCGGCAGGTAAACGGTTAGAGGAGAATTTTCTTTTCATATTACGTGGAAAATTGATAAATACGAACGTACAGGAGGAAAACGTTCGACATTATTTGGTTACATGCACGGTTTGTTTTTTTTTGTAATTTGGTGTAGCGAAAAATTGTTTTTTCTAATTTTGAACGTTTTGAAACTGGTTTCGAAAAATTCATTTTAATACCAGTTGAGAAAAGAAAACAAATAAAACTAAACCTTTTTTGGTTTTAAAATCAATACATTATTATTGAAAATTTATATCAAAGAAAGGCAGGTTGACTTATGAAAATAGAAAATGGTTAAACTTACAACCTAGTAGTAATGTTATGGCCCTTATTTTCCATTCTACATCAGCACAAAATAATTAAAACAGAAGACACGACAAAATAACACACTTTCTTGATATCCAAATAACTTTAACAAGCAATATAAACAAACTACATTAAATCGTTGAGAATAAATGTATATTATTTTCTATTTCTATCAAAACACAGTTTAGAAAACAATCTAGTCAAAATTTGAAAAAATATTGTATGTGACACGTTACGGACTGCCGTTTTATGAAACTCGTTCATATTGCGAGACCTCGCTCTGCTCTGGCTGCATATGTGGCATTGATATTTTGGGATATAAACAGTAAAAGCTACATCAAAATTCTTCATCAACAGCAGAAGAAGATGATAAATTGAATAAATTATTTTGATAACTGCAACCTGACATAATAGCGATGGAAAGAGGTGACTCAAAATCAATCCCACAGAAATATACTACAAATGAACGAAAAACGATGTTTGAAAATTCAACTTACAAACTGAAAAGTTAAGTAAGCGCGAACAATACTGCGTGAGGAGACGTCTCCAATAAGAATATTTAAAAATGCCATAGAGACGTATTGAATTTAATATATCAACACAAGCGTGGCACAAAGGTGTATAGTAATACCAGACATCTAGTGATTCTCATAAATCATATTAGACGACGACCCTCATTATCACTATTGTTCGATTTGTAGATAAGCAATAAAATTGTTTGTTGGTTAAAAGATTCCCAGATCCGGATTAAAATATATATTCTCATGAAATAGTAAAGAATATGTTTTTTTAATAATATTATAATTGAGGGCCCTCTATTTCAATTGTTAACAGTTCTAAATGTAAAACTATTTTTATAATAAAAAAATTTCTAGAATTTAAAGTACTTGTAAATAAAATTTACTTGCCTGACCACCTGACTTTCTGTACTAAACGTCTATTAAGGAAATAAGCGATAATGGGATATAGAGTTACAAATAAATTACCAGACTTTGAAGCCAAGAATACTTTTGTTTAAGATATCGAGTCCTATAATTCCAGACAGATTAGAGAAAGTTAAATAAATAATGGGGAGTTAGTTGACCAAGACTCAAGCAGTGCGAAAAACTGCCACTTTTACGAAAACAGTATTTAAAATAGTAAGTAACCCTATTTTAACAAGAAGGAAAAGAACAGACTCTGGTACTTCAAAGAAACTAGATGGCTGTGATTGTAGACCTAATTCGAAGGAAAATATGTGACTTGTATAGAGAGCAAATTGATATATTGATATATTGATGCAACTACTTGAAAATGACGAAACTGGCATCCAGTGTAGCAAATAGATTTTAAGGAAGTCTCTTTTAAGAAACGGGTTTAAATTAAAAAAATTTAATAACAGCAAAAAAGTCATTATGGAATCTATGCGCCTTAAGCAATGGAGATTTCAATATTTATTGGCGATAATTGATTTAAGAGAA